CTCTGGGTGTATCATCCAATGAAACACGTCCATAGCCAAGAGTCATCAATCATGCTCTCCAACTAGATTTTTGCATGGCAGAAGCTTCAGTCATCTAATCAGTCTTTGAAGAAAATATGAATGGAATGTACTTTCAATTCCACACTGCCACCTGGTCTTTGAAAAAAAAAACCCTTCTTTCTGTTGTCAACTATAAAATGTGTGTACAAAATGTTTTATGAGTTGACATATGTGTTTTTTTAAATTGTTTTAGTCACAGCTTTGCCAAAAAGTCCTGCTCTTCTACAGTCGGCCGAATGGAATTTGTTACAAGATCAGAACACCTCCGAACAACCAAAATGTACAGTAAGTACGATAACACAGAGAAAGAATAGGAATAAGATACTTATGAGACGCGGTGGCACAGTGGTTAGAGTGCAGTACTGAAGGCTACTTCTGCTGATTGCTGGCTGCCTGCAATTTGGCAGTTCAAATCCCAACAGGCTCCAGGTTGACTCAGCCTTCTGTCCTTCCGAAGTGGATAAAATGAGGACCCAGATTGTTGGGGGCAAGAGGTTGACTCTGTAAAACCGCTTAGAGAGGGCTGGGAAGCACTGGGAAGTTGTATATATTGCTATTGCTATTGCTATTTTGGCCATTGGGAATACGCTGTCTGGTTTGTGTGTGTGTGTGTGTGTGTGTGTGTGTGTGTGTGTGTGTATAAATCATTGTTATTTGACAGCTTCCTAAGGAATCACTTGATTTACAGAACCAAAATGTAGTATGTAAGCTGTGGGGTTTTGTTGTAGGTAATTGTGCATACCAGAATATGTCTTCTGTGGAATAATCAATCATTACCACTTGGTTCTTGCTTTGGAATCTCACGAACGGAATGGAGAGGATAGTCTGTCCTTCCTCTATTGTGGAAACGTGTTGAAGAAGTTCCTTTTTGAATGTGTTTAAAGTGTTTTAGGGTGAAAGGACAGGAGAGCAGAGTTGAGTTAGGATCACTGCACCTTTAATCCAGCGATGCTAGGATAAAACGTAGTTTTCATGTGGAGTGGTGTTGGACTTCAATGTTGACTTGATGTCTAGGAAACAGCTTTCCAGGTGTTTTGCCAACATTTATGCCTGCACACTTCACAGGAAACTGAGCAGGGACTGACTAGGTTACTGTCTTTAAAGCTGGGTGTCTTGAAATCTATTTTCTAGATCAAGGGTCTCCAACTTTGGCAACTTTAAGACTTGTGGACTTCAACTCCCAGAATTCCTCAGCCAGCTTTGAAGTCCACAAGTCTTTAAAGTTGCCAAGGTTGGAGACTCCTGTTCTAGATCATGATCACTGTGACCTGTGATCATGGCAGATACTGGCCATTAAAGCCCTTTGTTGTAGCTTTAATTTCAAACATTCACCCATCAGTTGGCTCAACAACGAGGGCAGAAATACATAATGGGTGCTTTATTTTATTCTAGCTTGTTTGCAGGTACTTGTCTATTTTTTTTTTTTTGCAGATGTTTCATTATCTAGCTAGGTAATATTATCAGCAGGAGTTAAGTGTAGTTAAGTCAGCACATTGCCCCCAACATTCTGGGTCCTCATTTTACTGACCTCGGAAGGATGGAAGGTTGAGTCATCCTTGAGCCGGTCAGGATTGAACTGCTGGCAGTGGGCAGAGTCAGCCTGCAATCCTGCATCCTAACCACTGTGCCACCAGGACTCTTCTTCTCTGTTACTTAGTTAAATAACAAAATATCTGCAAATAACCAAGTTCAGAGAACACCAGGAACTCCATAGTTCAAAGCTGAGCTACAGAGATTCCGTTATTTTGGAATATATAACTCTTGTCATTCCAGTGTGTGCCTTTAGATCTCTTATATGAAACCACAGTTCTCATATGTACTTTTATGTTAACAGGGAATGAACATCACTGGGTCTTCACAGCTTGGTAAGCAACCTAAGAACTTACAGAATATACTGTTGCTAATCAAATTCAATTCAGACTGTACTTTATATATATATATCTTTGGTTATTCGGGTTTTCTCCCGCGTAAGATTGGAAGTATCTAGGCAACGTTTCGATGAAGTCTCATTCATCATCTTCAGGCTTCTGTCTTCAGCTCTGTGCTTCTCAGAGTGATGTGAGCTTGCAGCTGCTTCTTCCTTTTAACTGCTAGTGGGGGTGTGACTTGATTGGGTGGGGGCTTGGCTGTGTTCTGATTGGGTGGGGGTGTGTTCTCATTGGTTGGGGGTTTGGCTGTGTTCTGATTGGTTGGGGGGTTGGCCATGTTCTGATTGGCTGGAGGTGTGTTCTGTTCAGGTGGGGGCTTGGTTCACTCAGATTTCTTATTATATTTGCATTTTAGTAGGCTTTCCTGTTCATTACTCATTCAGGACTCCTGGTTGTAGTTGGCATTTACAGAATAACAGAGTTGGAAAGTACCGTGGAGATCTTCTAATCCAACCTCCTTTTTTTTATGAAACTTACATTGACAAATAGAAAATTACATTCAAGTTAGCTATGAGATTTTTTTAAAAAAAAGATGAGCAGACCTCCCAATGACATCATTACACATACCCTCCACAGGAACCATTGCTCTAAAACTGGACATCCACCTATTTGAAATGGTAGAGGGTCTCCTGCTTGAGCAGGGGATTGGACTAGAAGACCTCCAAGGTCCCTTCCAGCTGTTCTGATTGAAGTTTCTTGGGCACAAGCCTATCCACTTTTCAGTGCTATCCATTTCTCTCAAAATTGGTACTTAACTTCCATGGTTACGGCAAGAAATGATGTTTTGCTTGCAGAAGCTCCGCATATTTTGTGGCTTCTCGTGTGAGATTATAGGATGTGCTTGAAATGCCTTAGTGTTTATTAACCAGAATTTTCCTTTGTAGGAAAGGAAATATTTTTGCAACCGAAAGGGATACATTTTTCAAAAAGCTACATTGTTCATTTGCACTAAATTTCACTAACCACCTTACTAGTCCAATGCGTTTTTTTACGTAAGAAAATTTTGCTTGCATGCAAGCTCTAGATATCTAGATATTAAAATCTAGATGACTGCAATATCTGGAATGTTAGATCTACGAATCAAGATATTAAAATTCAGCTACACTTCATTAATGGTTTCTTTTCTTACAGATAACTCAGAGCTGGGAGACAAATCTCCAATGGATACAATACCTCAACCATCTTCCACCAGTCTAACTCCTAAAGGACAGCCCTTACCAGAGATTGCAATTGAGACTACAGATATTGGTAAAGTGTTGATTACTATCCTACCCAAACCCCCGTCGAACGTAATGAAAAATAGCTTTAACCTTGCTTGTGTCTGTTACACAAGTTAAATTGTGCTGTTTTCTGATTGGCCTCAAAAGTGGGAGATGTTTAACATCTACGCCGTTTGCAGCCCAAACAGCTGCATCATGTTGGCCCCTCTGACTGTATCTTCTTGGGGGATGGAGTCCAAATAAACATACTAAATATATAGATTTTCAGAAAATTTTTAGGCAGCATTTAAAGCAGGAATATTGTCGGGTAATCAGTTACTCCAGGGGATAATACTTTAAATATTAGGTCCCCCCCCCCCCCCCATCAGACATAATAAAGTGAAATTAACCTGGATGTGGTTTAGCAAGAATTGGAATATTTGCTTAATTTTAGAAATCACTGCCTTTTAACAAGTCCTTCGTATTTTCCAAATAATAGTAAATGTAGCTTTTTCTTAAGATGACCCTATTATAGTTTTTAAGCTCCTCTGCCCTATAGACATTCAGTGAAAAAAATACTGATGTTCACGAGTGTGATTTTTTGGGGGGTTGGATTTATTAGAAAAGCCACCCATGTAAGTTTCTAAGTGAACAGATGTGTTGGGTTGTGCTGCTTCTGTTCCTTTTGTTCTTTTGGTTATTAACTTTTGGTTGAGGTCTCCTACACCTCATAGCTCTTTGAAAATTATACCATCAGTTAATAGCATGTGGTAAATTGGCTGAAATCGTGTGAAAATTTGTGAACATTTTGTTAAATGCATGTTGTTAGTGAGGTACTTCCTTTCATGGATGTGTTCTCCTTTAGGGTTTGGTAGCCGCTGTGGAAAACCAAAAGGACCAAGAGACCCTCCTTCAGAATGGACATGATGCAAGAACCAATGGACACATATTAAATTATACTGGAAAATTCAAGTGCCACTGAACAAGATTCGTAGTATTCCAACGCTTTATTTTTTTTGGAACGATCTGTGTACATATAGCTACAAATGGTACACTTTTGTATACATCTACACAAATATTAAAGATTCAAAATGGTGGATTCTATAATTCAAACTTACCTTTTTGCTGGGGCCATCAATCTGCCTTATTACATTTTTTAAAAAAGTATTACTTATGGTTTGTTACTTCAAGTATTATTGCCTTAATGTCTTTTAAACCTGTTAAAACATTGTTTATAGACATGTTAATATGGTGAAACTTTTGACAAATTTGAGTTTATGGACTTTTTTTTGCAAATGTTTGATTACCATGTACATTTTATTTTATGTATGTATAGGGCAAGCCAGGTATATAATTTGATAAAGCTGCAATCATAAAGTATTAACAGAAGGTGTAAGAAATCTCTGCATGAACTAAAGTTGTGTACCTTGTAAATTATTTGCCCTAATGTTTTAGAAAATAGTTTTTTTTAAAGAAAATGTTGGTGCACATTCAGAATTACAGAATAGCAGAGATAAAGATTGTAATACATTTTGTAAATTGTAAGCAAAAAGTTATTTTTATATTATATACTGTTTCAACTGTCAGTCCTAATTTGTCCTGGTTTTCATCTAGTCACTGATATTCCATAAGTGCCTTGAAAGACCAGATTTTTTAGCATGAACAAGTTACCTATAGAGACTAGTGTTATCAACATATTTGAACTGTCAGTAAAAGAGAATATTTTAAAATCCTTTAAGTTATCCTTTATATATTGTATTTCAATTTAAATCTTTAGAATTTTCAAAAGGAAAACCTTGGTAAGTATCATCAGGATTAAAATCATGACTAATAATGCTAGCAAAAGAGTTTTATGTAAACATTTGAAAGTACCAAAATTCTTACTGCATCACTTTTTCTCAACAAACTTTACTGGCAAATTCCAAAAGGCCTACCAATTTGTTTCGGTTTATATTGGGGATTCTTCAAGAAACAAATTAATGATTATTCATATATATTCTAGAACAGGTAGCATTACTGAAGGGCTTAAATGTCCTTCCAGTTATAAAATATTTTGTTCCAAGTCCCTTCCCTGCCCCTTTGATTTGCATGCTAAGTGGTCGCACCCTAAGAATAGCAATTAAAACTAGAGTACCTAGAGTAGACTCTTACCCTTATTCATTATAAGCCCATGGGAATTTCTGAAGGCTGCTAACCCTCAAAAAATACAATGGTCAAGATTTCTAAAATTGTTACTTGGGTTAGCAAGCCACCCTTTCCCCTCACATAGGTTGAACTACAATGTTCAAATTCTTTAGGAACATGTATAGTTCTTATATGATGGCATTTTTATTTGACTTTTGGTCTGCTGTAGTAGTTACTAACCTGATGATTCAAAACCAATTATTTTATTGAAATATCCAGCAATGTGTATGTATATATCTCCCCCTCCCTCTCTCACACATACACACACAAAGTTGGAATATTAGCCTAAACAGAAAAGGCTATGTTGTGTAAGGAGAAAACAAGAGCAGAGTTTACAGAATATTACTAAGATGAAATACTCCTGTATAAATCAATGTGTCTCTGGGGCACTTAGTCTTTTGCTGGTAGTGGAAGATTGGGTTCTATCAACTATAATTTCCACAGTGGACTCAGTGAGCAAAGGACTCTGTGAGCAAAGCAAAGCTCAGTAAGCAGAATGGTTCTGCCACTGGAAGGACTGGCTTAAGCTACTCTACATGAAGACAGATACCTGAATTTAAGTGTACTAATACAGGGTGTGCCACATTTTGTCGCTGAAAGCTGTATTTCAGAAAATCAAAAGGGTGCTTAAAACCAACTTGGGTGCAGATGGTATATGCTATGACCAAGCAATGTGGGTTTCTTCCCTCAAAGTTCTTGTATTGAGGCTAATGTGCTTTTTTTTTTTTCTCCAGCAAAACCCGGTGGGAGATCATGATTCCCTTTATAGCAATTTGCTGCTAAATTAGTGCAGTTCCTGCTTCCAGGAAAAAAAAAGGTATGGTGTGGGATCTCGATGTGTCTGTCCACCTAAGGATGCAACTGAGGTTTCAGAAGATCGTTATACGAGTTTTTAAAAACATTCATTGCTCGCTTGCCTCGGAAATATATTCTGGAAAAGCACAATATTGTCACAAGAGTATAGTGCATCTGTCAGAATAACATGCTAATTTATTTACCATTGCCCAAAGTCCAAGTAAAGGTAATTTAGTCTACCATTTTTACTGAATTTTCAAACAAGAATTAAAAAAAAAAGTTATTGGGAATATATTTACAGCAGTGCTTTCGACCCCATTAATTTTGCCCAAATATGACTTATGTCATCTGTTTTCCCCATTGTCCTAAAATTGGATAAAGAGAACCTAATTAAACAGTCAAAACCCCTTTCTCCCCATTTGCCTTGAATGCTAAGATAATACAGTCTGGAAAACTACCCAGTTCTGTTTGCTAACTTTTTATATTGGCACTACAGCTCAGTTTGAAAATATCCACTATTATACTTAAAAAAATAACTCTTTTTTAGAATATGAAGCATACTAAAAGATGGTATCGTGGACATTGTGTGTTTAGAGCAATGTGCCTTTTCAAAAGTGTTGATAATAAAAAAATCTCGAGTTTTAACATTAAAATTACTTCCTTATGAATTACCATGATTAGCTTTAAATGATTCGATGTAATTCTTATTCTATTATTATTCTAATGCTGAGTTTCAAAGATATCCTCAAAACTTTTTTTAAACAAAAGGTTATTTTAAACAAAACTTTTCTTTAAGCACCATGAGTTCAAATAGTTCCTGAAAATGTACCAGAAATTTAAATTTAGTTACTACTGTTCTTACACTATTAAAATAACTAAAGAATGTGAAATTTAATCTTGCAACAAAAAACAGGGCATGTTTAAAAACAGGAATAAGAGGAAATAAACAATCAAGATTGTGAAGATTAAATAAAATATTGAGCAGTTGCAATACTTGCACTATTATATAAACACGACATCACAAAGCTTAGAGTTCTTGGAAGAATTTGTGTTGATGGACCATAAAGTGTATACGTAGGATTTCCAGTCTTTAATACTTCCAAATCATTCCTTTATAAATGTGGTGTTTTTGCAATCTGAAGGAAAATGGTGGTTCAGTACTCATTGCTTGATACTGTTCAATTTATTATGATACAAATCTTAGTAGATTTCACGTAACAATGAAAGTTTTGTAAAATTCTATAAAGTTTTACACAGTAATGCAGTTAATAAAAACTTGTATTATATAATGCCAGATTCATCTGACACATTTCCAAAAAAACCAGGAAATATTGGAAATGTTCATGTAATATAGTCTAATTTCCCAGGTCTCACTTTTCAGTTAATACATTTGTTCTGATAGTATTTTTTTTTTAAAAAAACCCGTTAAACTAGTTTGTCTGTTTACACAATACATTTCTGTCAAGGTACAACTTCAAGTTTATAGTTTTTTGTCTTGGTCCTTGAAAATTCAGCATATTTTTCACTTCAAACATTTAAAAAAGTCTTCTAAATCTCAACATTAGGGCTGCTACAACGGCTTCAGCAGGTAACATCCTACCTGAAGTCTCAAGTATCATTAATTACTTGGATATCTCAAGGGATCTTTAATTGGGTCAGGACCTTATAAAGTGGTTAACATCTATGGCTCTTACCCCTGGGAAGAAAAGCAAGAACAGGAAGTCATAGAACACAGAATAAGGAGGTTGGCAGGGACCTCAGAAATCTTCTAGTCTAGCAGTCGCCAACCGGTGGGCCATGAGAAAATTTTGGTGGGCTGCAGAGAAATCTCACCCCCACAAAGCAATTAATCCAGGCTGCACAGAAACACAAGGCTGCGCTGCCCATATGGTCCATGGGAACCCTCACTCCTTACCTGGTAAACTTGCCTGCTAAATTGCTATTTTTCCTTTTTCTGACCATCATCTGTTCTGCTGTGCCAGGAAATTTAAATTAGCTAAGAAGCAGGAAATGGTTGGATTTCTTGCTTTCTAGCTAGTCTTTAGATCTTCCGCTCAGCACAGCTGAACCTGCCTTAGGACTGAAGGTTTGCTTGCAAGCAAATTCAGTGCAGATTCAGGGGAAGCAAATTTGAGAGACTGAGCTAGCCAATGGCAGATATAGATCACTGAATGATTCTGTGAACAACTCAATCTGCCGGCTTTGCCTGAGTTTGGGTAAAAGTTGCTCTTTTTTAATAAAAAACTCAATATTTATATACATATATTTACATACAAGCCATGCTCAGCCAGTCATATGACCAAGCCACACCCACAGAACCGATTAGTGGTCCCTGGGATTTAATATTACGAGTTTGGTGGTCCCTGAGGTACAAAAGGTTGGCGACCCCTGTTCTAGTCCAACCCCTGCTTGAGCAAGAGACCCTGTACCATTTTAGACAAATGGTTGTCCAGTCTCTTTCTGAAAGCCTCCAATGATGGAGCACCCACAACTTCTGAAGGCAAGCTATTCCACTGGTTGATTGTTCTCACCATTAGGAAATTTTTCCTTAGTTCTAGGTTGCTTCTCTTCTTGGTTAGTCCTTAATTTGGGCCTTCTAATGGGGTGATCGAGGAGGGGCAACGGTTAGGTCATGTTGCTCTGGATCTCCAAACTTGTCACAGGTGAAGAGATAAGGCCATGTCTGTCTATCTGTCACCAGGGTGTCAAAAAAAGAAAAAAAATCCAAGAGGGCAGGTCAACATAGCTCAGGTAAGGTATGAAGAAGCTGATCAGCATTATTGGACAACCATTTGTTTGAAATGGTATATGGCTTCCTGCCTGAGCAGTGGGTTGAATTACAAGACCCCCCAAGATTCCTTCCAATTCTAGTTATTCTATTGACTTAACAGCAATTGTTACTCTGGACACAGGCCAATTCTCAAAGGCTGGATGCTCTATGGCCGAAGAAACAAAAACGCAAAGCAAGTCAGACTTATTTTCAGCCTGCTTAAAAGTTGCTGGCTATTTAGAGAAATTCTGGATGACCAATCTCAAAAAAACAAATCTCAAGGGCAATAGAGCAACAGGTGCACTCCCATTTCTACTGTCCCTGCAGTCCCCAAGACAAGCCCTTTATGGAAATGGACAGACCATTCAGGAAGCAGACTCAATCACAATGTTAATTTAGGGGACTTTACCTATGCATAAAATCTCTCAGTCCCACACCTTGCTAAGGGAGTTTTGAAAGAGGATGTCATCAGAAACTGACCCACAAAATTGAACTTGCTATAGCATGCAAGTTAAAGGGGCCATAGATACATAGTAAGCCTCAAAGTTTCAGGACACCAGACTGACCGAACTACATAGTAACTTGCAAATGCAGCCTGTACTATCCTGCCAAGATTTCAATGCAATTCTCAATTTCCATAGAAGAAGATCCATTATTGCAATTCTCAATTTGTATAGAAGGATCTTCTATTGCAGTTCTCAACATCTATAGGATCTTTTATTGCAATTCTCTATACAGAAGAATCTATTGCAATTCTCAATTTCCATAAAACGATTATTATTGCAACTTCCATCTTCTGCAATTCTCAACATCTATACAAGGTCCTTCTATTGCAATTCTATAAAACGATCTTCCCTTATTGCCATTCTCAACTTCCACAGAATCATCTTAAGCTTATGAGGGTTTTTTGTTTTTTTGCATAGCCTCGGCTAGCGACGCCCTTTCTTTCCAAAGACCGACCGAAGCAAGCGCGTCTTCTTGCTCTCACGTTCACTTAACGCTTTCCTTCAAAAAACACACACGCACTACATTCGCCCAAGGTAACTTTTACTCCGGGTCCGCGCTCCCCGGGCCTTTATATGTCAACCTTTCTTCCATTCACACGACGACGGCCGAAAGCAAAACCGGGCCCAGCTACGCGGTATATATTTTCCCCACCTTTGCAAAGCGGAAAAGAGTTTACGCGCTTTGCCGACGGAGCCGGCCTTCAAACGGCCCAATGAACCCTGGCCTTTTCCCTCACCCCTCTTCCGCCCAGATTCCTCCCCGCAAGCCGGCCTCAGAGGACTGCGGAGAGGCCCTTCACCGCGCTCTCCGGGCTTTTCCGGGGCGGGCCGCCGCCGCCCCCGCCGCTCCTCCCGCGGCTGAGGCACCATCATCGCCCAGGCGCCTCTTCAAGATGGCGGCCGCGGACGGTTGGGCATCGGGGCCCCTCCGGCGGGGCTCTGAGGAGGGAATCTTCTCCTGCTGGGGGATCTTTGGCGGGGACGGGAGGAGAAACCCTCGGCAACTTTCCCCTCAGCTCCGGCTTCCTCGCGTCCTGCCGGCAAGCGCAAACCGAGCCTCGCCCACCTTTCCCGCCTCATGCTTTCCCCTCACAGAAATCGCTTCAGCGAACAACCACTTCTTCTCTCCCTCCCTCCCTCCTTTTCACTCCCTTCCCGCCCTCGCGCGCCCCTCTGACATTGGCGGCGCCGGGCGTCTCTCCGAGGCGCGCCGCCTTCCTATTGGCCGCCGAAAGTGGCGCTTGAAACGCTGGGCCCACCCCCCTTCGTTTCCCCGCCCCTCCCGTCTCTCTCTCGCTCTCTCTCTCTCTCCCCAGCGACGGGCGCTGTGAGGTAAATAGAAGCAGATCGCAAAATGGCGGAGCTGCCCAGTCCCGTGCGAGGGGCGACGGTGGCGCCTCTACCGCCTCCGCCGCTGCCTCCTCCCTCGGCTCTGGCCGTTGACGCCCGCGGCGTCTCCCCGCGCGGGCTCCAGCCGCCGGCCGCCAAGCGCCTGAAGGGGGACGAGCGCGGCTTCAAGGAGGCCAAGCGTCTCAATGGCGAGGGCCACAGGCAGCCTCCGCCTCACATCCCCGTGGCGTCTTCCCCGGCAGGCCCCGCCGTGTGGAGCCTGGCCGCCTTCTCCTCTGGCGGTGGAAGCGGCCCGACCGGCGGCGGCGGGGGTTCCTTCGTCTTCCAGCCTCAGCTGCCCCCCAAGTTGCTTCTTCCGCCGCCTCCGCCTCCTCTTTCCCTCTGCCTGGCCGGCGTGGAGGGCCCCAGCGGGGCCAAGAGCAAGAAGCCCAAGGAGAAGCGCGAGAAGGAGAGGCGGAAAACCCTGCCCGGGACGGCGATGACGGCGGCGGCTCCTCAGGGAAGCGGCCGGGAAGAGAACGGCGACCTGAAGATGCTCCTCCAACAACAGCACTACCATCGGCATCACCATCGCCCGGGCGGTGAGGAAACACCCCCCTCCCGGACCCATAAAAAAGGGGTGGCGTGGCTGGAAAATGGCCTTCCCCTCTGGGGATGGGGGGGGGGAAGAGGAGGATGAGGACAAAAGTGGGGCGGGCAAGGAAGAGATTGGGGGTTGGGGGGCTGGCCTGCACCCCGTTTTCCTATTGGGCCACTTGCGGGGGGGATGGTGGTGATGGTTGGGGCTGCCAGTGTCTCCCATTGCAAAGCCAGGCGGAGGAGGCCGACGGGGGCGTGAGAGCTGCCTTGCCTGGCAGCAGCCCCAATATAGGTGGGTGGGAAAGGCCCATTGAGGGTTGACACGTCCAGATCTGGGGTAACCTCTGCCCCCCCTTTCTGCCTGGGGAGTCCCAGGGCGAGATAAGTGGCCAGCAAATTGACCGAATAAATAAATATGAAGAGCACGGTGTGGAAAAGCATATGTGCCTACCGAGAGTCTCCCATCATCCAGGTCGTGGATTGTCCCAAAGGTATCCTTGCATATTGGGATCCGAAGAAAGGTCTGGGATAACAAGCCGAAATGTTTGCAAAGAAGAAACCCAGAAAGTCCAATGGCCTTTTTTTTTTTAAAAAAAAATATCAGTTTATAATATAAAATACAAAAGCACAAAAGGAAATAGGAAAATAAGGGAAGGGGGAAAGTGTAGGGCAAAGGGGAAAAAGAAAGAAAAGCCTTGACTTCAGACTCCCTTGGGTGCAGTAGAATAAGGTAATAATATCAAACCTAAACTTTTGACTTTTGCATTGTAGCATAGATTAACCATTTCTAGAACGACAAACCTGTCTGATTGGTAAAGGCCAAAATTGAAAGTTTCATCCCCCCCCCTTCAAGTCCAGTTGCCTTTTTTTGGGGGGGGGGGGGAAGCATTTTTGGAATTTGGAAGCATATGGACAGCCGTGTCCCCTAATTGTGCACTGGATGCTTTTGGGTTTAAAATACTATTTCTGGTGAGCAAGAAAGGAGCGACTTGTATTTCTTGATATAAGATAGTTTAGCAACATCAGGTTTTTAAAAAGTGATTATTTGCTATTGGAGTCCACAGTGGTTTTGACATTCTAAAGGGGGCGTTTCTATAGAAGCTGGGAAGAGTGAACTTAAGTTCGGTGCTGTCTGATGTGAGGATTTAGCTGTAAGAGAGAGGATGTAAAAGCCTTAAATTTTCGCTTTTTTATTCAGAAGTAAGATCTACTGAATATGCAGGTCTTTGTTATTAAATAAGTCTGAAGCTAGCTGGGGCTAGCTTGAAGAGCTGCTACAAATTTACCTTCAGTATGGATGCAACTGAGAAACCTTTTTCGTTACCACCGCAGCTTAAGGAATTTGGGCAATCCAACTGAACATTGCATCAACCTCAGATGAAAAGAAACAAGATTTGATACTTTTGAACTTGATGAGGTTTGAAAGTTTAAAAAAAAACTATAAAAATGGGCCCTGTAATGTAATCTTAAATAATATGCGTGCTCTTTTCTTTTTAAGTGGCAAAAGTTCCAAGAATGTCATGTGGATCCTTATACTCAATCAATTATTGTTGAACAGAAAATGA